TAACTCGAACACTTCATTTTTACTGCACTAAAACTTTAGTGAGAAGATTGAGTTTCAGAACTCAATTCAAGATTGAGTTTTTGGCGCCGTTTTGCGGCCCTAAAAAATCCCTGAAAAAACCTTGGAAGTGAACTACAAAAATCCAATCTTGAACTGACGAATGAATCAGTACTTCGATCGGTTGTGCCAGCACCAATATACTTTCTGATCTTGGCTATGTTCCCTTAAGAGATAAAAAGCTCCTTTGACTGGGCCTACTTCATTTATTTGAGGTGGCATCGCCAATGTACTATCAAATGTTGCTCTGACCAATATTTCGTGCTTTCATACTAGGTCAAATAGTGTCAGATTTAACTGTTATGGAAGGTGCCAATGACATCTGTCGGAATTTAGAGTGAAGAACAAGGAGTTCTGTCTTGCCAGTATTGAGTTTTAACTTATTTGCAGACATCAATCCAGTTGGTAATATCATAAAGACAACTTTCAACCCGACAAGTCGCCGACGATAGTTCAACATCATTATCGAAACTAAAGGTAGCATATATTTGATTGTCATCAGCATATATAGTTTAAACGATATGTCATGTTTCCGCATTAGATTTCCCAATGGAGACGTATATAGTAAATATAATAATGGTTCCAACACCGACGCTTGTGGCGCTCCACAACTGACTGAATAAACTGATGAACTGCTTCCATCTATATCAACAAAATGTGTGCGGTCTGTAAGATGCGAGCGAAACCATGCTTGCGCTTTTCCTTTGATACCAAATTTTGACTGCAGTCTATATAACAAAATCTCGTGATCTACAGTGTCAAATGCAGCTGATAAATCCAATAATAGAAGAATCACACAATTATTGTTGTCAATGGCTTTCAAGATGTCATTCTGAAGTCGAATAAATGCCGTTTCACAGCTATGATACCTCTTGTAGGCCGACTGGAATGTCTCATTTAGATCATTCGTGTATAGACGTGATCCCATAAACGCGTAGCTGCTCACTTTCTCAATAACCTTAGATACACATTAAGTTGGATATCGGCCTAAAATTTGGGAAACTTTCAAAATCTAAAGATTGCTTCTTTAATAAGGGAGATAGTAATGCTTGCTTCATACTGTTCATAGAAGTTGGCATTATAGTGGATTCAAACGAAAGATTTACAATCCGACAGATGATATGATGGATAATAATTCGATGATGCAATTCTTAAGTAATGACGCAGGCACTGGATCCAAACTACACGATTTAGTTGAAGTTTTTTTTAATAAGAACCAATAGTTCTTCGACGCTGGTTAGTGAGAGTTCGTTCAACTCCAAATCAATACTTGTCTCTTCAATCTGCTGTAGATTAGAAAAATCAACATTCGATAAAGAATTAATTTCTCGTCTTATTGCCACAATTTCTTCAGAGAAGAAGTCAGCAAATTTATTATACACAGTTCAACAGTAGAATCACATGTCGGATAATGTTTTTCCGATTTGCGGTGTAACAAACGATCAATCGTATTAAACAAAACTTTGTGATCCGATTTATTTTCAAGAATAAAAGCGGAATAATAATTAATTTTTGACGACTTGATGATATCCCTAATTACCCGTTTACACTGCATGATCATGATACTGCTGTCTATAGATATAGATCTAATCCGGACTTACGCCAACGTCTTTCAAGTCGACGGCGCTTGCATTTCTCATTAGCAATGTCCTCGGTATACTATGGTGCAGACGGTCGTGAACTTACTATGCATGTTTTTAAAGGTCATTGGAATCGACAACCTTGAGCATTCACTGTCATATTTGTAATGTAGTCACGTCATGTCACGTGATGTAATATATATCTAGGTATCAGAAAGAGACCACGTGTAAGGAAATAGGGTTTTGATATTGAAGGCAATA